AGCTGATAATTATCTTTATTATGTATATTATTTCCCTTATCAAGGTAGTGCTATTTCCCTTTTCTTTTGAATTGTTTTTTTTTTAGGAGGGGAGAATATAGTGCAAACTAGAGTAATTAATACCGATAACGCGTTCTGAAAAATATACCAAGGCTGGAGCTAGTAAACAACAAACATGACAATAATTATAGTTATTAAATAATAATAATTTCTTCATGTCATCCTTATTCTTAAAATTGCAACCTTTACAATACCTATAAAAATTATTAATATTCACATTCAATAATCAACCTCAAAATCAATCCATTTAATCAGTACTATAACCTCCAGTAAAACAAAACGATACTTTAAATTTGAAATCAATCACCACAACATTCATAAATCACAATTTTCTCAATAAGATCTAATTTTAATTTCTCAAATAAATTATTTGAGGAAATCTAAATCATACAAACTCTTATTCTAATGTTATTAGCCTTGTTAAAAACTAAATAATTATTTAAAAAATTAAAAAATTTAAAATCTATCAAACCTAGGTTTTCACTATCAAGAAAACAAAAAACCAAAGATGATATATAACTAAAAAATTTTTAAAACACTTTTATAATCTTAAAAAATTTTAAATCACACCAAAATGGTCTATTGTGAATTGAGCATCTAAACTGGCCCCAAAAAAACAAAAAAAAAAAAACAAAAGAATCTGGCTTCCACAGGTTTCGCGTCGCTGACAGAAGAAAAAGACGAAGCAGGAGGTTGTTCACTCTGGGTCTGCATTTTCGAGGTAGAAGTGGGCCCACGAGCCCACTTAACATGAGTCCATATTTATATTACTTTTTTGGCCTTACATTTTTATTTATTTTTCCTTTGATAAAATTTTCCCCTGCTTTTAATAATTTAGTATTCTCAACTTCTCTTTTCTAACTATTTCTATTAATTTTTTTTAAAAATGACTCAAATCTCTAATATATAATCCCTTTTTTTAGTTAATTGTCTTTACTTATAGAATTATGTGATAAATTCTAATTACTATATACATGAAATAATTTTATTAAATTCAAATTAATGCTAATAAATATTTACTATATTCAATTTTGTACTTTATTCGATAAAATGATAATTAATGATTTAAGAATATAATTGAAATCAATTCATCTTGATCTGGATTTTTTTTCCAATTTCTTAAATGACAATCCTTTGTGCCTCTATTCCTCAAACAACATAAATCAATTTACCTTAAATCTCAGTTTAGTTAAAAAAATCTTATCCCAATGTCACTTAAATTTTTTTGGTAAAATTGGGATGTTATAAATTAAGTGTGACAATTTTAAAATAAGTAATTTAAAATTTTGTGTTCAAATTAATAAAATTTAAAGAAAAATAAGCACAAATTATAATGACTAATTTATTACTATTTGAAACAAAATTAGAGCGTCAGGCTTGATTGTATTGTTACTTAAAGCCCAAACTAAAATAGAAGAAGATTTAGCTTATTAGCAATCCAATCTTGCACAAATAAGTGAGATGATATGTTTTGAAGAAAGGCTTGATAGAATCGTGTCCATATCTTCTACTCTTCATGATTCTTAGTGCGGTCATGCCCATTGCTTCACATAATGGAACTCCCTTGAGAATTTAAAGGCATGAACAATTATCTACTTTTACTAGCACCAAGCTTGAATTTAAAAAGTACGGCATTGCCATTTGTTATAAATATGCAACGAGCATATGACTAATTGACCTTCAACACTTTGTCAAATTCACATCAAATTGCCCCAATGCAAATATTCAACTATTGACCTTACATCATCTCTAATTCACCTAGCACTACTTACTTACTCTACTGTGCAAACTCAGCATCCAAAGCTAGTTTCTCAATCTTATTTGTCTCTTTATTTTTACAAAGTACCTCATTGTATTTGTTTTTTTCTTAAATAATGTTATCGGACTTTATGCTCATTTATGATACACTTGTTATTTTTTTTTGTTAGTCACTTAACTCTTGCTCAATTGACATAATTGGCACACTCTTGCACCTAAAGAGTCGTGACATTTTGACCTCTTTACTGAAAATTGGGCCAACAATTACATTTTTTTTTAATAATTTAGGATTATAACTAACATCTTTTCATAAGCATGAAGTTTTGTTAATTTTGTTGTGCAGTACGTAATGATACGAGTAGAGATATATATATAATTATAGTTTTAAATTAAAAAAAACTAGAATAAAATGGATGAACACTAAACTTGTTAAATTTAACCTTGAAAATCAGAATACCTCGTACTATTATGCTGAGAATAAAGAAAGCGGTCGGACATCTACAAATTTCAAAGTAGTTATGGACTCTGTTATGCCAACTTGCAACTTGCAGTGGAAACAGATCGAAACATTGACGGCTTATCGTTGAAATTTGAAACCCTAATAATATACCGTGGGCTCTACCAAGTTATTGGTCTATGGGTAGTAAAACTATTTCTCACTTCAATTCTATTTATAAAATATTTCCACCTATTTATTGAAATTAAAAAATAAAATTTATTAACTCTACTTAAAATTCATTAGTTTTATTTTTTTAATAATATGCATAGTTTAATAATCTATTTTCTCTCATCAACATTTAATCAATATATAATATAATAAATAATCAATGACATGTTTTGTAGAAAAGAAAAAAAAATTCTCTCTACCTTATAAATAAAACTGAAAAGAATAATTGATTAGTATCTTGGAGCATGCAAGCCAAGAATAATACTCTCTACATTTAAAAATATAAAGTATTTTTTGAGAAGTTGAATGTTAAAAAATATAAGACATTTTTAATCTTTTGAGATGTAATCATTATTTTTTTAAAAAAAATAACTCTATTGATGAATGACTTTATATTTATTATGGATATTTAATAGAGATAAATATAAAAAAATATGGTTAGTTTAAAAGTAAGTACCTATTTTATTAGAGGTTAGATTCGATTAAAAATATTTTATATTTTTTAATCGAGGGAATAGATGTTTTGTGGTAATCTCATATTCCCAATGGAATGCTTATTCTTAAAATTTGAAATAATCTTTTGTTATCTGGTGATAATAAAATTTTAAATAGTTTATGAATTCTGGTGGGCGTAATTTTTCTATGGGATAAAGATCCAAAATAGAAAGTGCAATTGTTCTAGGCTTCTACCACCGCAAAGCATAGTATATTCTACTTTTCTTCAACAAGTGGGGGCAGAAAATAAAAAAAGAAAAAGAAAAGAAGGAAAAGAAACATTTTAATTCTCCTTGACACAAGAACTGGTTAATGGTGGGCCTGGTTCATATATGCCTGACTTTATGGCTTGGTATTACATATTTTTTCCTTAATACATTCCTACCCAAAAAAAAATAATATTCAAAAATTAAAAATAAATAATTTTAATTTTAATTTTAAAGATATACATATATTATAACGTCTAACTACTTAATTTGAAAGTTAAAAATATTCATCTTTTAGAGATAAAAAAAACAAAAAAAAAGTCTAGATTAAGTTTAGAAGTCCAATTATACAAAAAATTTATTTTTTTTTTAAGAGCTGTAAAGCCTTAAATGAATGGCCTATCAAGCCCGACCTACCTAAAAAATCTTGGGTTTGAGATATTATAAATTATAAATAAACAAACAATACCTTCACTGAGCTCTGAGATGCGGAGACTTTTCAAATGCACATGAGTGGTGGGTGGGTACTGGGTAGCACTACAAGCATTTTAGGTTTTGATGTCTCATCAACAAGAAGAAAACATTAATTATATCAGTTTGACAGATTAATAAAGTTCAAACAAATAGGTTGGTTCAATGATTATCTCAATTCTTTTATTCAGTCTTCTATAGTCGATCAAAATCCCCAGCTTAAGATAAGAACTCCTAAAAGGAATTAATTGAAATGTGAAAGCACCATCATCTTACAATTCTCTCTACACGTAGTTTTGAACAGCTAAGTCCTGGGTTCAGCATAAATAAAAATAATAAATTTAATGCCAATTGAATTGATTCCTCAGATAGTCAGATCTCATTGTCAATCAAAGCATATTATTAAAAGTGAAGCTGGATGTATTTTTGGACCGAAGAATTCCCAAGAGTTCCCTAAGATAAAATACAACAAATTCGAAATTGGTGATCACACATGAATTTTGTGCTTTTTCTATTCAAATTATTATAATTTAAATAATACAAGTTCTTGCATTTTATACTTTAATTATAATGAAATACGATCTGAAGTGTCTTGAACGATCACATGGGTATTTCATAAATGATGATGATGACGACCACGACCACGATGATGATGTTGATCCATTGCACATTGTTGAACAACTGATTTTCCATAATCATTGTGATTGTCCTGTTTATCCGCAATTTTCTTCGATAATGCTTGGAATTTTCTATTCGGATTGATTGGATTGGCAATGTTATTGAATTTGTACGGATTAATATATCAATTAAATTAAAGAAAAAATGATAATAAAATTTTTCTAAAATATATAAATAACAAATTAGTTCCTTAAAATGCTATAATTCTACTAAAGTCTTTAAGAATTTTTATATCATCAATGAATTTATATAAATGATTAAATTATCCTTGCTGAAAATAAAATAATTTACAAATTTTATTTAAATAATCACAACTTTTTTATATTTACAACAATGCAATAATAAATTAAAAATTAACATGTAAAGTTGTAATTTGTTGTGAATATAAAAAGAAAAGTTGTGATTATTTAAAAAAAAAATTGTGAAACATTTTATTTTTAACAAAGGTAATTTGATCATTTATATAAATTTATTAATAATAGAAAAGTCTCTAAAAACTTTAGTGAAATCATGACATTTTTAAAAAACTAATTTTTTATTTATATATTTTAAAGATATTTTATTATCATTTTATCTTTAAATCAAACTAAATGAGAAATATCCCATTTTGCAGCAAAACAAACAAACACAAAACAAGAGCGAAAATAAAATCAGAACAAATGACATGATTTAATCAAAATTTCATTTACTTTTTTTTCTTTTATTATTTTCTCCTTCCATCCAAATATGTTACAGATCAAAAAGTTACCTCCATATTTAGCTGTCTATATATGGAAAAAGAACATTTCACTGACTCACACCAGTTCTTAAAAAAAAACAAAAAAGAAAAAAGAAAATAGCCTCTTTTGTTTGGTACCACGTAACCAAAGATTACAAATAATTAGTAAAGCGTCAAGCCCATTTAGCTATAAAAGACATTAAACCAGCACCTAAAAGTAGAGATATATTTGATCCAAGTTGAAGACGAGTACTGTTTTGCATTCTGTCAGTCATAAAATCAGCAGCAAGAAGATCAACAAGAGCCATATATATTAATATTCCTGCTGATGCTGCATTGAAAATTCCTTCAACGATCAAAGCAGTTTGACTATTCTCATCATACACATTTGTAATTGCTATTCCAATTGCTATTCCCACTGGAGTTGTCAGAGCAAAGAACAATGCCATAATTGTAATAGTTTTGTTCTTGAATTTGGCCTGCAGTTATAAATAAATATACAGTAATTAATAAGATATTTAAATTTATTAAATAAAATAAATTAGCTGGCTGATTCATTTTGATTCAGCTAATTTAACAGATAAGCCGTCACCACAGGATTTTGCCAATCTGGAATATCTACCTGTGTGGTCCATAACCGTGTGCTCGCTTTTCCACAAAGATAATATGAAAGGTGCTTTTTCTGGTCTTAGTTACAGAGCAAGATTAATCAATTTTACAATTTTCAAGGAATCATAATTAATAGTTTTTAACTTATAATAATATTTTAATTTTAATTTTTCAATTCATTAAAATTAGTGATCATGATAAAATGTATTTTGAATTATGCTTAGTACAATTAAAGAGGAATAACATTTTAAAATAATTAACTACTACATGCGCTTTCCATTTTCAAATATAGGAAAAATACATTCACACAGTTAAGAAAATTAAGTAAATATAATAAGTACATTCAAAAGTAAAATATTTGGACTAAATTATCCCTATAATTACTAACAAAATTTTCCTAGTAAAAATAAATATTAACCTTGTGAGAAATAATTTAGAAAAGTATAATAAAATATTTTTTAAAATTTATAGTTTTGCTTATAAATAAATAAAAATAAAAAAGACCATGATAGTTTTTCTTATATTCTAATAATTAAGACATAAAAAAGTAATATTTATTTCCATATTCCAAGGCTTTAAAATAATGTTCTTTTTTTTTAGGAAAAAAAATAATGTTCTTTTTTGACTTCTGCAAAGAAAACGTACCTGAGTGATACAGCTTCCAAGCCCCATACCCTCAAAAAATTGATGAAAAGTCAAGGCAAGCGACCAAAGGTCTTATAGTTTTTGGACTCTCCGATGCTCCCAAAGAAATCCCAATTATCACAGAATGCACTATTATCCCCAGCTCCAATACCTACGAAATTCATTAAACATTCAATTCAAACCATTCAAAAATCATGTTATTCACTAATATTCTGGATTTGGAGTGTCTGCAACGAACAACTGAAACTGGGTAATATGATCACTGTTATTGTATATGTACGTACGTATGTATACACACCTGTGATATGACTCTGTGACGAAGGAGTTGAGTTGAGCCAGAATCAGATGATCCATGAGCATGACCATGTGTTGCATGAGTATGAAGATGAACATGTCCTTCATGTCCTGAATTTTTTCTCTTCGTCTCCGTTATTATTGGCCTCAATCTGCCCATTCTTCATATGATGTTTCTTGAAATACACAGTCGCGAAAGCGTCCACCATTAGAGTTCCCATGGCCGTACACATAGCTACAAAACCAGTGAACGGAAAATCTCCCCATGGGTGATCGCTCAAGCAAGGAGATGTCAAGCTTCTCGAAGGCATCTGGAAGGACGTGAATGAATCCAGTGGCTAATATCACGCCGGCGGCGAAGGCCTTGATCACGAAGAAGATGTCCTTATCGGGACTTAAAGCCGGAACAAACTTTCCGATGACCGGAATCAAAACTCCGATAGCACTCGCAACCAGTATGGAAGCTATGGCTGCTATTTTGTACCTCATAGCCTTGTCTCTGTCGCGATCTTCGTCTTCATTGTCACATGCACACTCTGAAACAACCAGCGCCGGAAGAAGAACCAGAAGAAGGAAGACGAAGAAGATGGAGGCTTTGGTTGTTCTGGTCATAGCGCTTGGAGAGGAAGAATCTGGGAAAGCACGTAGAGTGAGAATAAGAGAAAATTTTGTGGGATTTATGGGAGAAAAGTGATTTGATTTTAGGAATTAACAAATTAAAATTAATGAATTTGTCAGAGAAATATAGGCAGTATTGAATTGAATGGCTTTAAAGTGAGAGAGAGAGAGAGAGAGAGGGTATGAGGAAGGAGTGTCGTTACATGTCGACATGTTTTGGGTTGGATGGCGAATAAAATATTTAGTTTACTCTCTGGTCAATGTGATCACACAAAAGACTTCCTCTATGATGTCGCAATGTTTTGAAATTTTGGGCTAACAACGATTTTTGGGTGAGCTTTGGGCTAATAATTTAATTGAGACAAGACTTGTGATTGCGATCCAGTATCCTGGGCCATACGCTAAGGAAATGATGTATTTTTTCCCCTGAAAATAGAATAAATTACTTTTCCTTATTGAGAGAAATAATCCAAATTACACGGTTTTTTCTTTAAGAACAAGAAAAATTTTTAAGTAAACCAAATACACCATATTATTTATAATCTATAATTAGAACAGGATATTTATATGATATTAAATATAAATTAATTTTAATATTAATAATAGAGAGAGAGAAAAGTTAAGAGATTAAATATGAATTATATTATAAAATAAATTAATTAAAATAATATATATAAGATTTTATTTATATAATTTAAATATTTTAATTCAACAGACTATAAATAACGTAATGTATCATATCTACGTGAGAATTTCCTTTAAGAACAATTGGTATATGGAAATCAGGAAATGTTTGAATCATTCATCTCTATTTATACTCCACCACATCCTTGTTATTGAAGGGAAAATTTTGTGATTTTACTATTTATAAAAATAGAAAACTTTAAGTAGCTACATCTTTATTTAGAAACGGCCACCTTTTTATTTAGAGTAATTTATATTTGTAATTTTTAATATAAAATAATTTAAATTGAAATAAAATTTCCTAATTAATATGTAACAAATTTGTATTCTCTTTGAAAATATTTTAGTTATCTTTAATTTGGGACAATAATTGCATATAATTTTATATCTATCGTAATTAGCCATCAGACTCAAAATTAAACTTGAATTAATACGATTACTAATACTAATTATGTTTTTTTTTGGTATGATTTCTCACTCACCTTACAAATCTAATCCTGATTTAGATAGTCCCATCAAGGACCCCCATTGTTGGATGCCTTTTAAACCCGCAAACTTCTTTATATGCAGGGCGGAAGATGTGTTCCCCACCCCCCCCCCCCCACCAACAAACACACACACCACATTTCTTTCTGTAATTTATTTTAAAAAATTTAATTTTTTTAATATGATACAAAAATAAAATATATTTTTGTTTTTATCTTTAACTATAACAATAATACAACTATATTAAATACTTTCATGCTAATCAAGAAAAGATAAAATTAAAAAAATATTTAATTATTACAATGTATTCTAATTTCGAACCAAAAATTATTTTTAAAATGTATATTATATATAGGACTGAAAGAATATATATATATATATATATAGGCCTCACCAAAACCTTATTTATAGTTTATATAATTATTATGTTGTTTTTTTATGAAAATTATGTGATTACAAAACTTTAATATATAATTTTGTAGCTCAAAGTAAAAAAAAATGATACTTTCTCTATTTTAAATTATAAGACACTTTTAAATAATTTTACATACTAATAAAGTTTATTAAATACACTTTACAACCTTACTTTTTTAAAATAAAAATATAAACTTTTAAAAATACCCTTCATTTAATACTCCACTAATAAATATTGGACCTAATGAATGGATGCCAAAAGTGAAAATATAAGTATGGAGTAGGGGTTAAAATCTATTTTAAAAACTTTTACAAGCAAAATTATTAACTTTTGTCAGAAGAGTATTTACAAGAGAGAAGCATGTAACTCCTAACCCCTTACGCTGGCAAATGAGATGTTGGCACGTGTCTCCTCACGGCTCACATATGACTTTTTTTAAGGTAGTATTGAGTTATTCTTTACTACCCATTAAAGAGGTCTTTTGAAATTTTCTCAGACTCGAACCTCCAACTTTCATAGACTTAATCTTTACATTTTTGTCCTCATTAAGTGCTTTGAGTAAAAATACTAATAATAAATTTAAGAATATTTATTAAAAATAAAGATAAAAATTTACTATATTTTAAAATAAAGTTAATAATGTTTAAAGTTTTTTTTATTTTAATAAAATATATTAAAAATAATTTATAAATAGGATTAAAGGGAAATAGTAAGTTTTTATTAGGTCTTAAAAATTCGTGAGACCGCCCATGATATGTAGCATCCCTTAGCTTGTAGATTAGGTGGTCCAAAGTCGCTAGCACTTGAAGAATCCTAGTAAGTTTGTATCCAATATCCAGGAAACAAATCCTAGGATGTTGTTATTGGATAATTATTATCCTTGGAACTATATATATTATCATCCAACTCTTGCTTAATTCCTTCATAGGACTCGATAAAAGCTAAGTAATTATTTACGAATGGGTTGATAATCACAGCAAATTAAAGATGAATCCGGGGGAAGAAGGGATGCTTCCCTCTTGTAAATACTCTTCTGACAAAAGTTAATAGTTTTGCTTGTCAAAGCTTTTAAAATAGATTTTAACCCCAACTCCATACTTATATTTTCAATTTTGACCTCCATTCATTAGGTCCAATATTTATCCCTGAATCACATAAATATTTAAAAAAAATCCATTCGATTCTATTTCGTTAATTACTAAATGGATTGAAATTCCAGCTTATACTGTGTCAAAAATTCCTCTCTCTCTCTCTCTCTCTCTCTTTAACTTTTTGTTGGATCAAAATCGCTATTTTTTTTCCCATAGGGAAAAGCTAGAAGACAAATAGAGGCATAAGCCTTCTTCTAAAAATGAAACTAGGATTCTTCCTTGGATGTGTCTGTTGCTTCACACAAAGTAGCGTGTTATTGTTTAGACGCAACCCATTATAATCACAAGTGATCTTTTCTGCTTTTCAATTTGAAATCTTTGACTGGCTATAATATGTAGCAGTGGCATCTTGTGATCTCTTTCACTGTTCTTGCCCACTGAAAGGGTCCTAATTAGTATATATGCTCAAGCCTTTAACGAAAGCTTCAATATTCTTTACGTTTTAAAAAAAAAAAAGCTTCAATATAACATATTCAGCAGCTTCTCATCACTAGACAAAACATTATAGCCAATATCACTTTGAGACCAGTAGAACAATTTCATTTTATTTCACAAATTTTCGATTTTCAGTTTTGGACATTGTATTCGGCTCTTCTAAGTTAAATAGAAGAACATGGATTGTAAATTGTTCGCATTTGTGTGTCAAATTTTGAAATGCCGGCTAATCATCTTCATGACTAGTTGGCATGAAATTTTCCTATAAGTTAGAGATATCGCATGTTTGATGTCATTTACTCTCTTCATTTAATAATATAACGTATTTTTTGAATTACGTACACGGTTAAGGTAAATTTTAAAAGTTGTTTTTGTTCTTAATGAAATGTTAGAGTGATTAATTTTTTTTAAATGTTATCCTTTATTTATTCATTATTGTTTGAATTCTTAGACAACAATTTATCATAATTATTAATTACAAATAAAGATAAAATTAAAAAGTTACATATTTTTAAAATAATTTTAAGGATATAACTATCATTTCTTTGTAAGCATGAAGTTAGTTAACTTTGCTTTATATTAAAAATTGAATGAAGTATAATATTAAATATATATATATATATATAATACATTTTAGATATTTCAACGGTATAATTAATATAATTAATATGATTTTTCAAAAAAATGTTCTTAATTAAGAGTATATAATTTAGAACCTACTAAATAATGATAGTAAGAAAAGAATATATTATTTTAAATGTTATTAACTAATGTATTGGGAGTATTGGAAATTAATTACAATATCCTTAATATTAATTCAGAAAAAGACAAAATTACACTTTTGTGAATTGTGAGCAGGTGAATAATGAAGACATAGGAGACAAATGAAGAATGCCACATGAAAATGCTGCAGACATAGATTTGTCCACCAGAATTACCCTTAAAATTAGTTAGACTCCATTCTTTTACTAATCTCTTTCCACCTAATTAACAAGGGACATTTTGTTAAAAAAAAATTAATACAGCAGATAATTTGAAAAGGTTTTTATGGAAAAAAGGATCAAGACGAAATCTTTATGAGGTCCTTTATAGAAAGGACTGGAAAAGTGCATGAAATGACCATATGAAAAACAGAGTTTACCCTAGAACATGAAAAGAACTAAAATATATCAATTCCAATCATAAGTACTACTGCCCTAATTCATTCAAGTTTGACACAAAACTACTGAGACACTCCAACTACAATAAACACAAATTATACAAATTACACTGAAAGTGAAAATACGAACAAATACAGAACACTAGCAAAGATGGAGAGCAAGAAGATTACTACACATTAACAGATTTATACAAAACCGCACTCAAAACGCCTCTACTGATCACCAGAAGAACCGTACATGCAGCAGCAGTCATTGGAAGTGAATATGGGAAGAACATGAACATCATGACCAAGATGAATGGCGGGACAAACTTTCCGATCGCCTGATGACAGTGGCAAGTAGTATGGAAGCAAATGCTACTAAATTGTGTCTGAGAGCCTTGGCTCTTCATCACCACATCTACACTCTGAAATTGAAAGTATTGCTTAATTCTTCTTCTATGATGTTCAAATCAAATGTTTGATGCAATATCACTATAGAAGGATGGATATGTACCAAATCCACAAAGGCAAACATATCTCAAAACGCATCAGCAACACTGAGAACATCGATTTCATTGGTATAAACTTTTAAGCCTCTAGTCAGTGAAAGGGGTTTCTAGTGATCGCCAGATCCAGAAGCAGAGTACAGGAGCAGCAGCAGCAGGAAGTGAATCTGGGAAAAAAAGAATATAGTGACCAAGATGAGCGCCGGGAAAACTTTCTCTTGGCCGGAATGAAAATTCCGATTGCACCGGCGAGAAGCAAGGAAGCTAAGGCTATTATTTTGTTGCTGGTAGCCATGGCTTTGTCATGATCA